CGAAGCACATTGCTCTGCGCTACTTCCTTGCTCGAGAGTTGCAGCAGCGTGGCTAGCTTCGTCTTGCTTACGTGGCCTCTAAGGCCAACACTGCTGATGTTTTCACCAAGGCACTTCAGCCTTGTGATCATCAGCGTTTTTGTACTGTGTTAGGCCTTGTACCTACTGTGCCTCACTTGCTTTCTTCTTGACTCTGCCTGTACTGTACTCTTTATACATATACCTGCATGCTTACACTTGCTAGGTTGTGTTCACTGTATTGTTTGTTCTCCTTTATATAACTCTGCATGTGAACTGGCCTTGTGGCCATTTGCTTGTGCTCAGACTGCGTGGTGACTTTGTGATCCACCCTGAGCTTGCTTTGCCTTTCTTGACTGGTCTTGTGACCTCTTGTTCTCCCCCACTTTGCCCATGGGGGTGTGTCAAACTTATATTCTATAGTCTGTTTAGGCTGTAGTGGGGTAGTTCTTACAGGGTACAACACTTTTAGGTTTCCTATATGTACCCACCTGCTTTCTAGTTCAGTCATTCATTCGCTCACATTCTAACAGTACGCTGCGCATCAGCTCAACCTTTGGCCCCGTGTCTCCTTGCCGGAGACCTCGCCTACACTGCGTTGGACGGGGAAGGTTGGTGATGCGTCGGTGTTCCGGGTCTGGGGCTCTCGTGCCTTTGTCCGCGATACTTCCACGGACAAGCTCTCCTCCCGCGCTATTCATTGCGTCTTCCTTGGCTTTCCCCCTGACGCACCTGGCTGGCAGTTTTACCACCCCACCTCGCGCCGTTTCCTGTCCTCTCAGGACGTCATGTTTGACGAGTCGGTTCCCTATTCCCGTGTCTTCCCCTACCCCACTGCCCCTCTCCCCCCCCCCCCCCCGCCGCTTTTCCTTGCTCCATGTCCCCCTCCGGTAGACCCCCTCCCCCCTCAGGGTCCTGCTCCCTCAGGTGTGTCTCAAGTAGACCCACTCCCTTGGGCTGTGCCTGTCAAGGTCGCTGTAGACTCAGGTGCTGCTAGAGGTGCTGCGTCTGGGGGTGCTGCGTCTAGGGGTGCTGAGCCTACGAGTGCGGAGCCTGGAGGTGCTGAGCCTGAGGGTGCAGAGCGTGGGGGTGCTGAGTCTGAGGGTGCGGAGTCTGGGGGTACTGAGCGTGAGGGTATGGAGCCTAGGGGTACTTAGCCTGAGGGTGCGGAGCCTGGGGGTGCTGAGTCTGAGGGTGCGGAGTCTGGGGGTGCTGAGCCTAGGGGTACTGCGTCTGCCGGATTTCCTGTGGGTGCCTCGCCACGAATTTCTCACCGGCGGGAGCCTCTCACACCGCAGCAGCTGCGCGAGTGGTTTTCTCATCGCACATGCCTTAGGAGTGGCGCTGCAGGAGCTGGAGGTTCTGCCACTCGAGGCACTGGAGCTGGAGGTTCTGGAGCCACTGGTCATGGAGGTGCTGGAGTTAGTGCTGGCGCTGGAGGTACTGGAGGTGCTGGAGCTGCTGGTCCTGGAGGTGCTCGTACTAGTGGTATTGGAGCTGCCGGAGCTGGTGGTGTTGGAGGAGCTGGACCTGGAGACCTTAGTGCTTGAGGCACTGGAGCTCGAGATGTTGGAGCTGGAGGAACTGGCGCTGGAGGCACTGGAGCTGGAGGCACTGGAGCTGGAGGTGCTGGAGCTTCTAGTCCTGGAGGTGCTGGAGTTACTGCTGGAGCAGGAGGCACCGGAGGTATTGGAGCTGCTGGTCCTGGAGGTGTTCGTACTCGAGGTACTGGAGCTACCGGAGCTGGTGGTGTTGGAGGCACTGGAGCTGGAGACCCTGGAGCTGGTGGCACTGGCGCTGGAGGCGATGGAGCTGGAGGCGCTGGAGCTGGAGGCGCTGGAGCTAGAGGCACTGGCGCTAGAGGTGCTGGAGCTGGAGGTAGTGAAGCTGGAGACCCTAGAGCTGGAGGCGCTGGAGCTGGAGACCCTGGAGCTGGAGGTGCTGGCGCCGGGGGTGCTGGAGCTGGCGGTACTGGTGCTGGAGGCACAGTGCAACGGCGACCGTTTTTTGTTCTTCCGCCACCATCGTCTCTGCCGCCACCTGACTCGGTCCTTCGCCAGGTTCTTAGTCTCGCGTCTTCTACTGGCCTTACTCCTAGCTTGCTGTGTCCACCGCCTCACCAGTCGCAGCCACAGTTATGGCCAGACTCCCCACTGCCTGCTCCTTCTCCTTACGCTGAGCAGACACACTCTCTTACAGAGCGTCGTGAGCCTAAGTCTCATCCTGCCTCGCGTGCTCGCGCTGTTCGCATTGGTCGCCGTGTTCCTCGTTTGCATCCTCCTCCTGTCCCCGGCACTCACATTATGGCAATTCATCCTTCCTCTGTTCAAATGCAAGTTTCCCCGCCGTCTCCTCTTACGTCCTCTCTTGCTGACGATCCGGACCCTGAGTCTGGCTTAGCTCATGCTGTCAGTCCTACTCCCACGTCTTCTAGCCACTGCTGTCATTGGCCCTTCGTTTGAGTCCACTGCTGCGTCTGGCCTAGTTGCTATGCTTGTTGACTTTGCTGCCGCCTGTCGTCTCGACTACGCCACTAGTCTTGTTGCTGAGTCTGAGTCTGAATGTCCTCCGTCCGTCGGGGGTGAGTGTGCTCTTGGCACGGACGTCCTTGAGGACAGGAAAGAGGACATTGAGTGTCTTGCATCTGCTGTACCTCATCTCGTGGCCATGCTGCTTGCACCTGAGGGAGTCCCGGATGCACCAGACATCACGACCCCTGCTTCACTGGGTCGTTTCTTACAGGTACCCAGTGGAGCCTCCGGCGGCCAGTCTACGGTCTCCGCCAAGCGCCACGCGAGTGGCACGACACACTGAGGACGACGCTTGCGGATCTTGGGTTTGCTCCTTCGACTGCTGACCCGTCGCTGTTTCTGCGCACCGACACTTCGCTGCCGCCTTTCTACGTCCTCGTGTACGTCGACGACTTGGTTTTCGCCACTGCTGACACTGAGGCACTGGCCCTTGTGAAGTCGGAGCTGCAGAAGAGCCATACATACACTGACATAGGTGAGCTGTGCAGCTATCTTGGCTTGCAGATCACCCGGGACATAGCACGGCGCACCATCACCCTGACTCAGTCACACATGGTGCACCAGGTCCTTCAGCGCTTCGGCTTCTGGTACTCCTCACCACAGCCGACTCCTCTGCCTACCGGTCACTCGCTCTCAGCTCCACCTTCGGACGAGTCCGTAGAGCCGAGTGGCCCGTATCCAGAGCGTGTGGGCTACCTCATGTACCTGATGACCTGCAATCGACCTGACCTTGCCTACCCTCTTAGCATCCTGGCACGCTACGTTGCGCCCGGGAGACATCGACCAGAGCACTGGGAGGCCGCTAAGAGGGTGTTGCGCTACTTGTGCAGTACATCTTGCATGGGGCTCGTGCTTGGAGGACGGGGTCTAGTTGTCCTCACTGGACACGCCGACGCTTCTTGGGTTGATGACTTGGCTACGCAGCGGTCGTCACAGGGTTACACTTTCAGACTTCGCTCTGGCTCTGTTTCTTGGCGGTCTACCCGCTCGTCTTCTGTTCTCAGTTTTAGCTGTGAGGCTGAGATCTACGCAGGGGCCATGGCTGCACAGGAGTTACGCTGGCTCACCTACCTGCTGACCGACTTGGGAGAGCTACCTCGTTCTTCTCCGATTCTGTACGTAGACAACAAGGCCATGATTGCCTTGTGCCAGGAGCACAGACTGGAGCACAGAACGAAGCACACCGCTCTGCGTTACTTCCTTGCTCGAGAGTTGCACCAGCGTGGTCAGCTTCGTCTTGCTTACGTGGCCACCCGGGCCAACAATGCCGATATATTCACCAAGGCACTTCAGTCTGGTGATCATCAGAGTTTCTGTACTGTTTTATGCCTTGTGTCTACTTTGCCTCACTTGCTCACTACGTGATTTTGCTTGTACTGTGATACATATATATACATATATATATATATACCTGCATGCTTTCACTTGCTAGGTTATGATCACTGTACGGTTTGTTCTCTTTTATATAACTCTGCATGTGAACTAACCTTGTGGCCATTTGCTTGTGCTCGGAATGTGTGGTGACTTCGTGATCCACCCTGAGCTTGCTTTGCTTTTCTTGACTGGTCTTGTGACCACTTGTTCTCCCCCGTTTTGCCTATGGGGGTGTGTCTAAATGTTATAATGTTTATATTGTGTAGGCTGTAGTGGGGTGGGTAGCCCATAAGGGGTACAACCCAATTAGGGATAGTACTTGTACCAACTTTCTGTTCAATGCATTCATCTTCGTTCAGTATTCTGACAGGTTGGTCTGCGCTTCAGCCGTCAGATTCGTCTGACCACCAGATCCTTTGGCCATTCTCTCATGTGTGCGTGTGCCAGACGCCACTTTCCGTTCGCCGAAGATTTCGGAGGTGGCTGTGCGAATGATTCCCGAGTCGCTCTCATACCATGCTGTGATCAGAAGTTGATCGTCCCTAGGATCACCTCAGGAAGGTTCGCACACGACTGAGTTGTGGTGGTGGGCCCTTGACCTCAATAGCAGAGTGGATGTGAAATGCTTGAGATTATTGAAACATGCAAGTACTAAGGTATAAATAAGAGTACAGGAAGGATTACGAATCGGCCTAGCTAGCCATGTACTCTAAAGGGTACATTCCCTTATTACAGCGAAATCCAACCGTGCGACTCCAGACAGTTACGAAACTGTCCGGGCAGAATCCTCGCCACTGCTGCTGCCTGATGCTGTCTGCCCGACGGTCCAGATCCTTTTCGCAACCGTACGACGCTTCGCGTCACTTATGCCTTTTCGCCTTCATCCTGGTAGTGCGTGTTTCGATTGCTGCGGTAAGGAGTGCACAGTGATGCTCCAATAATTACTAATCGTAACACCTACAACTGCGACTGATCTGAACATCAGAACACAACATTGGCTATAATAAATAGAACATGAAAGTAATTGTACAAATCTACACCTAAGCAGTATCCCGTACAGTGTCCCTACAGCATCCCTTAGGGCCTCCATAGAGGCCTTATTGCCGCTACCCATGACATCATTAAAGAATCCTTCCAACCTCCAAATCGCCTGCCTGCCGCTACCCATGTCATCCTTACAGCATCCTTCCAAGCTCCGAATCTCCTGCCTGTGACTTTTTCCAGCTGCCTCTTTCTCAGTGCTGATGATGCTGGGCCTTCCCTGAGGGATCCACCAGAAAGAGCAGCCAACACTCGTGAAGCTGCTTCCCTCACTCCATATCCCACCCCTGCAACTCTTCCCTGATGCTGCCTCTTTCTCAGTGCTGATGATGCTGGGCCTTCCCTGAGAGATCCACCAGAAAGAGCAGCCAACACTCGTGAAGCTGCTTCCCTCACTCCAGGTGTTGCAACCCCAAGTCTTCCCCGCTGCTGCCTCGTGCTCTGTAGAGCAGCTGACCCACCAGGAATAGCAACCAATGCTCTGGACACCACTTCCCTTGCACCTCCAACCTGACCATCCTGCCTCATACTCTGTTGAGCTGCTGACCCTTCCATAATACTCCCACCAGGACCAGCACTTAATACTTTCAAAGACACTTCCCTTGATCCACACATCCCACCTACTACCCACTCCAGCCGCCTCTTCTTCTGTGGTGCTACTGCCGCTTCCTTCAAACCCCCACCGGAAGGAGCAACCATTGTCCTCGATCCACACAGCACACTTGCACTCAGATACAGCTGCCTTGTGCTCCCTGGTGACCCGTCCTGGAGCGGCTTGAGGGCTCCACCAGAAGCAGTCAACGCCATTTTCTCCACAACCGCTACCGCTGCTGGTCGCGCGCTGCCAGGCTTGGGACGCTGAATAGGGAGCATTCTCCAACTGGCTGCAGGCGTTCCCCTGACCACGTTCTGGTCTGCACCTAGCAGCCCCATCCGTGATGCGAGATGCACAGCAGCAACCACGTTCTTACTCACTGTAAATGCAATCAGCAGAAGCACCAGGTCTAGCAGCAACGCACTGTCACTGTACTGCTTGTTGTAAATGTTATAGCCGTTGAGCTTGCAGTCACCAAGGCAGGGGATGTTGACAGCAATGGCAGTGAAAGGCTCCTCCTGGGAGCTCTGGCCGCTGCTGCTGCTGTCACTGAAGCCGCTGCTCGTGCTAGAGGTGTCAGAACCGAAGAAATCAACGTCATTGCTGCAGGTGCTGCTCAGACCCGAATCGTTCTCAGAGCCATCGCCCTCTGCAGCCATAAACAGTGAGTAAACCTCCTCTGCAACCTCGGCTTCAGCTTGTGGCACTTCCTGGTCCTCAGAAGAAACGATCCACGCGTCGTCCTCCTCCTCAGCAGCCGGATAGCGAGCTGAGGAGGCCATCCAAGCTTCATATTGCGCCTGCAGCATAGCATGACGCTGCTCCTGCACCCAAGCATGACGTTGCGCCTGCTGCAACGCTGCTCGGTCTCTAAACAAGGCCATAGCCTCGGCGAACGTAGGACCCTCAGCAGACGACCGAGCATAACGTCGCATCCGCAGCAGCGTACCGCGGTTCTCCCACAAGGCAAACGCCTCAGCGAAGGACGGATATTCGTAACAAGCCATCAGGTACCGCGGAATAATGTTGCGAGAGACCTGACCAAATGCTGGACAGCGGATTAACCAAAGAGACTGGTAAGAAGCTGTCTTTGAGAGTGTGAAAATGAAACTCCTAGATGTCGGATTTGTACGTCACGCGACAAGTTCGAGACGAGGCGAGGGGACCAACAGCAGCAGAGAGGGGGTTGGAGGTTGTATGGAGGAACTCTCACAGGAGGGAGGAACAAAAAGGAGGATAATTTTTCTCAGATGCTGCCCGAGCAGCTCCGAAAAATCGGAACTCTGCGCTGGTATGGTGCACTGCGCGAAATCTGCTGAAACCACAAACACGGAGAACTCTGGTTTTGCTGGTGAAGCAATTCTCGCAGAGGGTCCTCCTGAGGGAGCGACGCGAAAGGATCCGTCGTTCGCTACCCCCGATCCCATCGTGTCTCCTGGGCCCGACAAAACGTTCTCCGCTGCGCGCTTGCGGAGTTCCTTTCCTACAAACTCGAAGGCATAAGATAGTAGATTTCACCTGCCCGACCGCACTCGGATCGCCGACGAATATCTGGCGCACCGCCATTCCCGAAAATGCCTAAAGCTGGCAGCGCTGTGGTTCCCGTGATTGAAGGAAGGGAGGTTCGGGCGATTATTTCCGAGCCTGAGAGTTGCGGAGAAATGAAATCGAGGTCAAAATGGTGAATCTGTACTCTCTAGAGTGCTCCTCGTCTTGAACTGATGTTCAGCTTTCTTTACTTCGGTGCTATTCTATAGTGAGAAGAATATGAGGATATCTCATTTCGGAGTATCTTTAATTATGATCTCAGAAGAAATCGTATAAATTGAATGTAATCCCTCGTTTGAGAATTGGCGAATATATACTCGCCGCACAGCAGAATTGAGAGGTATTGATAGCAGTATAAGCAAACATAAGCAGGGCTGCACCAAAGTGATTGTTGACTGTATGGTGGAAAACATTAACTCCTCTTAAACGCTAAATGCTACGTGAGCAGTTCTGCTTTCTTCCTAAGCAGGGAGACTGAACCACTGTGTGCATAAGTATTTCTCTCCCCTCTTGACTGGTAACCCTGCATGCTTGGACCTACTATCTTCAATGCCTTGGTCTGTCAAATGTGTGTACCAGAGAATAGCTTTCCCTCTCTCTGGCTTCACCTGCAGAGAAAAAAACGTGGATTATCAATAATCAGACAAAGAAGCACCTTCACTCATTTCATAACTGCCTCCCCATCAACCATCCCCTCGTCTCTCTCCAATCCCTCTCCCATCCCTCTCCCCTCTCCGTGATCACCATCTCATCGATAGCAAAACATACCTTGATGCCTACGTTTGGAAAGTACGTCTCCCCACCCTCGAAGCCATCATTCAGGTACACAAGGAATGTCCCACGAGCTTCAAGCGTGCCATCTGGCAGCATGCGGCCGTCATAATGAGCTTTGTACTCCTGGCCCACGTCGTATTTCACCAGCTGGAGCTCTGACGTGGCAAGCCGTTCAAAATCTACGATTCCCGTTATGAGCTTCGCACATCCTCGGATCTTCATGCACACCTTACCAGCAGCACTCAAGTCTTTGGAGGGGTCAATCCAAGTAGTGCTGCAAGGCGAGGGTATGACATAAGAAGGAAAATTCTGAGGAACACAACAGAGAAATGCGGAAACATGATATACAAACCTGCTAGTTCGATAGTCGCTCAATCCACTATCCCCTTTGTTTGCTTTCTGCAAAGATAACATAGGTCGGATTCAGACGACTGAAGCAAGGAATTTGCATATCATAACCTGGAACCCAACACGAGATTCGGCTCCACTACATGGCAATATAAGCGGGAAACAGTGCTGACCTGGACTCGGCTCCGCTGCCATCGGCCGCTTCCTGATTCGATCAAGATTCTGCACTCTTCTTCCGACAATAATCCAGGAAATTCCCACACTCGGAATTCTGTATCTACGGTCGAGAAGTTGAATCTTGGAGAATCTGTCGGAACAATACAATTCTTGTCGATCTCGCTACTCGTGGGTTCACATGGAGCATTCCTTTCAGAATCTCCAGCAGCGGTACTTTCAGATGCTTCACAATGGCTCGAATAGCTCGCAGGCCTGTGCGAATCGACGGATACCCTTCGAGTTGAGCTCATGCGATGGCCCATGATCAGAACCTGCAACCACTAACCCTTCCGAAACGCTGGAGTATTGAACCTCTGGAAACAACAACCCACAGCCGTGAAGGGGACATCTTACTCCGAAAATACCTCTCCAGCGATCGTGACTGCAGCCAACCCATGCGCGCGCGACCCATTTCGAGAGAAATGCGACCACGCCGACACGCGAGCATTGGAAATGGCTGTCGACTGGCGCCAGCGTGAATTGGAGATGACAGGATCGAGCTGCTGCCTTTCGTCTGTCGTCAGCTACAAGGCGGGACTGATTTCGGATTCTAGCATCACTTCTGTCTGTCTGTCCTTCTGATGATCAGTCAGGTGGATTGGAAATGTCACATTCTGCTGCTGCATGAGTCATGCAGTTCGGCTGAGTGAGAGCTACGCGCTAAAACGGTCCTTGATACAGACTACGAAAGCTGAAACGAAAAAGAGTCGATTAACACACTTACTGAGAAGTCTCCATCACAGTTTCACATCAGCTTTATAGTTCTACCAAGATTTCAAACATCAGTAATCAAATCTGAATGAACGTGATTCGTCTGATTAACTCTGTATACACCTTTTATTTTATAACACCAACACACCTCAGCGCTAACAGTCCACAACAATAATCTTGAAGGATGAGAAAAATATCATTGTTCTATGTACCATACCGTACGTCATTTTGATAGCTGTGTTCATTATCTGGAGACTTCGATTGTTCATTATTATGCATACAATCTTTTAAACCTGAAATAGACTTGCTGGTTGAATTCACCATTCTGGCTCCTATCTCAACCCTCCAGCGTTCTCAATGTCGAAGCTTCGCTACTGAACCTGCCTTCCTTCAAGTGCGCGAGGCACAGCGTCACCACCCTTAGGAATTTTAGGGAAAGGGAGTACCACAGAGATTCGTCGGCGCTCATATTGCGATAGGGCAGGCGAAATTTATCGTTTCATGGCGAAAGAAGCTCTGTTAAGGCGCAGCGGAAAAAAACCTGTTGGGGCCAAGACAAATGGATGGGGAGGGGGAAAGATATTACGCTGTGTGTGGGAGACGGAGATAAGTAGAACAAGTCTGAGTGTGTGAGGGAGAGGGAGAGAGGAGAACAACAAGGCTGGGAGTGTGTGAGGAGGCACACTAAGGCCGCGTTTAGTGAAAGTGTCTTCCTGCGCTATGTGAGAACTTAGAGCATGCTATGCTGCCATGAGTTGATTAACACACCTGCAGCTCATCAGAGCACACCTGCAGCTCATCAACACCCACCTCAAGTTCATGAAAACTCACCTGAAGTGAAGCTCGGCTCGTCCGCAGGGATGGAGCCGAAGCGAGTCAGGGCTTCCCTCAGGTCACTCTCAGATTTGATTTGCCCTCTGCTACTGCCAGCTCTGTCACCTGCGAGAAGTCCAAACAGAAATGAGGCCGATAGCCATTAAAATTTGATGATGTTAAAAGGACAGAGCCATCCCTGCTGCCAGCAGTGTCACTTGTGGTGTGAGATGGGACACATGTGAGGAGTGAGACTGAACAACCCGTATACAATGGTCGTGGACATACCACAAGGAAGAAACATGCAGTTCGCTGCTGCCAGCTCTGTCATCTGCAGTTAATGATCTGCTCTCTCCTCTGCAGTTAATGAATCTGCTCTGTCATCTGCAGTTAATGATCTGCTCTCTCCTCTGCAGTTAATGAATCTGCTCTGTCATCTGCAGTTAATGATCTGCTCTCTCCTCTGCAATTAATGAATCTGCTCTGTCATCTGCAGTTAATGATCTGCTCTCTCCTCTGCAGTTAATGAATCTGCTCTGTCATCTGCAGTTAATGATCTGCTCTCTCCTCTGCAGTTAATGAATCTGCTCTGTCATCTGCAGTTAATGAATCTGCTCTGTCATCTGCAGTTAATGATCTGCTCTCTCCTCTGCAGTTAATGAATCTGCTCTGTCATCTGCAGTTAATGATCTGCTCTCTCCTCTGCAGTTAATGAATCTGCTCTGTCATCTGCAGTTAATGATCTGCTCTCTCCTCTGCAATTAATGAATCTGCTCTGTCATCTGCAGTTAATGATCTGCTCTCTCCTCTGCAGTTAATGAATCTGCTCTGTCATCTGCAGTTAATGATCTGCTCTCTCCTCTGCAGTTAATGAATCTGCTCTGTCATCTGCAGTTAATGAATCTGCTCTGTCATCTGCAGTTAATGATCTGCTCTCTCCTCTGCAGTTAATGAATCTGCTCTGTCATCTGCAGTTAATGATCTGCTCTCTCCTCTGCAGTTAATGAATCTGCTCTGTCATATGCAGTTAATGATCTGCTCTCTCCTCTGCAGTTAATGAATCTGCTCTGTCATCTGCAGTTAATGATCTGCTCTCTCCTCTGCAGTTAATGAATCTGCTCTGTCATCTGCAGTTAATGATCTGCTCTCTCCTCTGCAGTTAATGAATCTGCTCTGTCATATGCAGTTAATGATCTGCTCTCTCCTCTGCAGTTAATGAATCTGCTCTGTCATCTACAGTAAATGATCTGCTCTCTCCTCTGCAGTCAATGAATATGCTCTTTCTCCTTGAAGCACTTACAAACAACGCATGCATGCTGACCAAAGTGTTGCCTTTCTTTCCACCCCTACCACACAAACAAAGTGTAGCACTCATAGACGCAGTAATCTGTAATGCTTCTTACCAGGCGACTGAGAACCCGACTTGGCTCACAATCCGATTCCGCTCCACATGGGAAGAGGTTTCCATCCCATATCTCCTTTCCCCTCTCCCTCTCCCCTCTTCCTCTCCCTCTCCCCTCTAACTCTCCTTCTCCCCTCTCCCTCTCCCCTCACCCTCTCCTCTCTCCCTCGTCCACTCTCATTAATACCAGAACGTACCTTATGCCTGCCTGCCTGCCTGCCAGCCTCAGCATACAACGCATCCCACCCCACTGCATCTACAGCTTGTTGTACAGGCTTCTCCTCTACTTTGCAGGAACTGGTGAGGAACGATGCCGAGTGCGTCATGTGTTGTGTTGCGCCGGTGTCAAGGAACCATGCGTCGCTTGGTGTGTTGGTCTCGTCACCGGCCAATAATACGATCGACTCCCTTGAATCATCCGCATCGCCGGATGCCGTGTGCACGTTGCCCTCGTGGTTCCGCGCCTTCGATGGAGTCCAATCGCTCGGGCGCTTCCGACACTCACGCCAAAAGTGTCCCGCCTTGCCACAATAGTGGCACTTGCTCGAGCCATTCGATGTGTTTCTCTTGCCGCGATCACTTCCACCGGACGACTTCTTCGTCGCACCTTTGCTCCACGTGGACTTCTTTCCGGAACTCCCCCCGGAGAACATGGCGGCACCCTCGCTCTCATTAGCGAATTGTCGGCGACGCGATTCTTCATGGAGAAGTCGACCGACCACCATTTCCTTCGTCCAAGTGTATTGCACGCTATCGAGTGTCGTAATCACCGTCGACCACTCTTCCGGAAGGCCGCATAGCAAGGTCAAAATCCAATCCTCCTCCGTGACCGTTCCACCGAGGTCCATGAACGTTTCCCCAAGTTCCTCCACACGAGTCGCATACTCGTGCAACGATTCGCCCGTGCGCATCTTCACCGTGTAGAATGCATTCCGGGCTAGGATCTTGCCGTGGAGAGTCTTGTTCACGTGCATCGTCTCGAGCCGCTTCCACGCTTCATGCGCCGACGCTTCGAGCTTGATGCACATGCGCACCGAGCTCACGAGATTGATGCCGGTGCGCGAAATCAACGTAGCGAACGCCTTTTGGTCCTTCTTCTTCCATGCCGCGATGTCGCTCTCGTTGTCCGGCTTCTTCTCCGTTCCATCGAAGAAACCCCAAAATCCCCGCTCCATCATGAGCACTTGGAACTTAAACTTCCACGCGGAGTAGTTTTGTCCCGTGAAAATCGGTACCGCCGACGTGTCGAACATCGTCGCAGTTGCCCAGGGTTTGCCAGAATTTACAACGACACCATCCAAGGAAGTGCGGGAGGCCTCGCTTGCCGTCGACATGCTAGCTTCTTGTTGCGCGCGTAGACTCCTCCGACCAGCTCTGATACCACTGTTTTAGAGGCATCTCCTCTACTTTGCAGGAACTGGGATTTGTATTAATCAGTAGAGCTCTGTCTTAGCTTTCCAACGGGCCGTATATCACCTCGATCGCCTACGTATCGAGCGAGATATAGGCGTTTATGTGCTAGGTAGTGCTCTTGGAATCAAGGAGAGGAACTCTCTGGATTTTGTAGTCGAATGTATCACATACAAAGTGATTCTCGATTTCAGTATATTCCATGCAATACAAAGCAAACAAATTTATATGAACTGCAAAGCATCGAGTCACACATGTAACCTCGAGTCGCTACACTCTCGAATGTTCGAGTAACATTTCGAAGGGGTGAAATTCGGAACTCGAATTTCACCGAATCGAATTCTCCTGCAGTCTCGATTCTTCTTGTGCTGCCATGTGGCATCGAAGTGCAGGTTCTTCCGAAGTCAACCCATACAGCTCACTCAACCGTGAGCACTAGAAGGAACACTTTCAGTGGTTGGGGGCAATCCTTGCCTCACGCAACCTCCAACACAGCTTCTCCTCCGTAGGCTGT